AGCATCAGTTCAACAGGAAGTCAGGCAGGGACTACATTTGTTTCTATCTTACTCTAAGTTAGGATGTATCATCCATCCATCCATTATCTTTTATCCGCTTCTTCCATTTAGGGTCATGGGGGTCGCCAGTGCCCGTGTCCAGCAATCACTATGCGAGGGACACCCTGGACAGGTTGCAAGTCCATCACAGGGACACAGAGACAAACAACCATTCACTCTCTCACTGTTGTGCCACTGTGCTGCCCTCCATTTCTTCCAATAAAAATAAAATACAAAACTGTGGTAAGGTAACATCAACATATCATGGCTTTTTCAGATGAACAGTTCAAGGGAAGGAAACTGTAGAGAGTGTAACTGTTTTTAAAATGTTGACAATTAGGTCTCATGATTTTATCTGGGTCTTGTTTCAGGCATGAGGTGAGTGGGAATACACTGCCCTCTGCTGGGCTTTAGCAGTACTGCACACATCCTGATGCCTGCCTAATAATCCAGGTAGAAATGTTCATTCATTCAACTTTATTTAGACAGGTAAATCCCATTGAGCCTCAAGGACTCATTTACAAGAGAGACCTGACTTCAACAAAGAGTGATGAAAACAATGGACAACAGCGACAACAATAGACAGTTATAAAAAGGCATACGAATTTTATTTTATTTATTTAATTTTTTGTACAAATAAGATGGCAAAAAAGCAACAAAAACAGCTAAATTATAAGGCGAAGGTAGAAAACTAAAAACAGGAACATGTCTGCATTGGTCCCTGCCAGGAGTCCAACAGATTCTTAAAGCCACTTAGAGGTCCAGGTCAAGAGCTTCGGATCTTTTTGTAAGATATTCCAGGAAACAGGAGCGGAGTAGGAGAAGGCCCTTTTGCCTAGTTCAGTCTGCACTGAGGGAACACTGCAAGTAATAATGTCCTGAGAGCGCACGCTGTAGCTGCACTCACACAGAGACATGAAGGAGGAGATGTATGAAGGCAGCAGACCAAGACGTGATTTAAAGATTAAAATATACCAGTGAAAGAGTCTGCGTGAAGTTAATGATGTCCAGTTAACCAGTGAATATAGGGTGCAGTGGTGGGTACGATAATCACAGCCAGTTATGAATCTTAGTGCACCATGATAGACAGCATCCAACACCTGCAGGGTTCTTGTAGGAGCATTCATGTAAATAATGTCACTGTAATCAACAGAGGGAAAGTCACAGATACAAGGCATTTCCTAGCATTCAGAGTTAGACAGGATCTGTTTCTGAAAAAGAAACCCAGTTTAACTTTCAGTTTCTTTACTAGGTTTTCCACATGGAGCTTAAAAGAGAGATGTGAGTTGACCAAGATACCCAAATATTTGTAGGAATCAACAAACTCAATAGGGACACCATTTGACGATGAAATCAGAGGAAGAACTGCTGGGACTGACTTCCTGTTTGAAAAAAGCATCCCTTTGGTTTTGTCGGCATTTAGGACAAGTTTGAGGTGGAACAAATCTGACTGGATGTTGCTGAATGCAGATTGTAAAAGCTGGAAAGCCTTAACAACTGTTTTAGCGCGACTATATATATATATATATACACACACACTCTGGAGAACATGCCTCCACTGCTCTACAGTACAGTGGCGGTGTGCTTTACACCACTGCATCGGACGCTTTGCATTGCACTTGGTGATGTATGACTTGGATGCAGCTGCTCGACCATGGAAACCCATTCCCTGAAGTTCTCTGTGCACTGCTCTTGAGCTAATCTGAAGGCCACATGAAGTTTGGAGGTCTGTAGTCATTGACTCTGCAGAAAGTTGGAAACCTCTTCGCACTATGCGCTTCAGCATCCGTTGACCCCGCTCCGTCAGTTTACGTGGCCTACCACTTCTTGACTGAGTTGCTGTCATTCCCAAACACTTCCATTTTCTTATAATACAGCTGACAGCAACAGCAAAAATCACAGCACCTACAATGCAAGACTCCACAGAGCTAACGGCTGATTTGGCTAGCGTTTTACCCTGGTCAATATGATCTTCCCAACCATGTATTTATTTAATACGCTAATAAAGTTACTCAATAAGTAAACTGAATAAAAGGCCATACCTTTAGTAATTAAAGGACATCTTTGGTTGAGTTTATTTGAACTATTTTAAGGTATTTTTGTTATTTTTTGACAAACTGCTCTAGCAGCAGTTGTGGTTTTAGTGTGCTGGCTTGGTTTGAATTAAATTATACCGCTAGTTACATGTTTTTTGAACCTGTTGCACAACTGTTATTTCAAAGGAATGTTTGATTCTTTTTTAGCCTTAAAGCTAACTGATTTTGAGTAACCATTTTGAAAATGTGTGTTATGAAATATAGCATTTATTGAATACTTTGTTTTTTATAATGGTTACAAACCATTTTAAGGTAAAGCTAATTTAACTTATTTGACTATGTACTTAATTTATGTTTTTGACCTTTTAGATCAGGTTTTATTCTCACCCTCGTTAACAACGTTCTACAATTGATGGCGAGCTACCACCTGACCACATTATGGTAGGAAATGGACCTCTTTGTTGACCGCTTTTAGCCTTAATGTGTGTGTATATACACAGTGCCTTTGCGAAAGTATTCAGCCCCCTTGAACTTTTCAAACTTTTGCCACATTTCAGGCTTCAAACATAAAGATATAAAATTGTATTTTTTTATGAAGAATCAACAACAAGTGGGACACAATCGTGAAGTGGAATGAAATTTATTGGATGTGTCAAACTTTTTTAACAAATAAAAAACTGAAAAGTGGGGCGTGCAATATTATTCGGCCCCTTTGCATTAATACTTTGTAGCGTCACCTTCTGCTGCAGTTCCAGCTGCAAGTCTCTTGGGGTACGTCTCTATCAGTTTTACACATGGAGAGACTGAAATTCTTGCCCATTCTTCCTGCAAAACAGCTCGAGCTCAGTGAGGTTGGATGGAGAGCGTTTGTGAACAGCAGTCTTCAGCTCTTTCCACAGATTCTCGATTGGATTCAGGTCTGGACTTTGACTTGTCCATTCCAACACCTGGATACGTTTATTTGTGAACCATTCCATTGTAGATTGGGCTTTATGTTTTGGATTATTGTCTTGTTGGAAGATAAATCTCCGTCCCAGTCTCAGGTCTCTTGCAGACTCAAACAGGTTTTCTTCCAGAATGGTCCTGTATTTGGCCCCATCCATCTTCCCATCAATTCTGACCATCTTCCCTGTCCCTGCTGATGAAAAGCAGGCCCAAACCATGATGCTGCCACCACCATGTTTGACAGTGGGGATGGTGTGTTCAGGATGATGAGCTGTGTTGCTTTTACGCCAAACATATCGTTTTGCATTGTGGCCAAACAGTTCGATTTTGGTTTCATCTGACCAGAGCACCTTCTTCCACATGTTTGGTGTCTCCCAGGTGCTTGTGACAAACTTTAAACAACACTTTTTATGGATATCTTTGAGAAATGGCTTTCTTCTTGCCACTCTTCCATAAAGTCCAGATTTGTGCAGTGTACGACTGATTGTTGTCCTATGGACAGACTCTCCCACCTCAGCTGTAGATCTCTGCAGTTCATCCACAGTGATCATGGGCCTCTTGGCTGCATCTCTGATCAGTCTTCTCCTTGTTCAAGATGAAAGTTTAGAGGGACGGCCGGGTCTTGGTAATTTGCAGTGGTCTGATACTCCTTCCATTTCAATATGATTACTTGCACAGTGCTCCTTGGGATGTTTAAAGCTTGGGAAATCTTTTTGTATCCTTCTGTAGTCCACGATCATCTCCTTTGTCTTCTTCACATTGATGTGAAGGTAATTCTCTTTGCACCAGCTCTCCAGGTGTTCCACCTCCTGCCTGTAGCTGGACTCATCGTTGTTTGTGATGTATCCCACCACCGCTGTATCATCTGCAAACTTTACAATGTGACTGCCTGGATGGGTAGCTGCACAATCATACGTGAGCAGAGTAAACAGGAGAGGGCTCAGCACACATCCCTGAGGAGAGCCAGCGCTGAGGGTTATGGTGGAGGAGGAGAAGTTGTGGATCCTCACTGACTGTGGTCTGTTTGTTAAGAAGTCCAGGACCCAGTTGCAAATGGAGGGGCTTAGTCCTAGTGTGACTAGTTTGTTCATTGGGGTTTGGGGGATCATGGTGCTGAAGGCAGAAGAGAAGTCCACAAAGAGCATACGGACGTAAGAGTCCTTCTGCTCTAGGTGGGTGAGAGCAGTTTGGAACAGAGGAAATGGCATCCTTTGTTGATCAATTCTCGTAATATGCATACTGATGAGGGTCCTCGATGATGTTGATTTTGATGTGGGTCATAATAACCAGTTTTTTGAAGCATTTGGTGACTATCAGGGTGAGGGCTACTGGCCGATAGTCATTCAGACCAGTCACTGTAGAGCTCTTTGGGACTGGGATGATGGTGGCGGTCTTCAGGCAGGTGGGAACTGTTGCCAGGGTAAGTGAGGAGGTAAAAGACGTCAGCCAGTACCTCACAGAGCTGATCGGCACACAATAATGTGAATGCTTAGGAAGCGGTCACACAAATAAAAAGCACAATTACAGAAATGTAGTGATTTAATAGTGATTTTGCTCACTTTAGGGATCAAATAAATCAAAAACCACTTTGTTCTTTATTTTTACTTTAATTAGGCAGAAAACATCACTTGGATAACAAAAACCAGTTACAGCAACGTGAAAATGTGTGCTTTAACTTTCACCTGACGGGAATGTCAACCTGGGAAACAGAGGACTCAAATGAATCAAAAGCACATATTTACAACAGGGAATTAAAAACACTGCAACACAATTCTTGGTTGTGTGGCGTCAAGGGAGTGTGTATGTATGCATGCACTGTACTCTTTTATTTTACTGTATCAATATTGGATAAATATATCAATAAAGTAACCTTTTCCTGTACTTTACAGTCATTGTGATCCAAATGGTGTGTTTTTGTCTCACGAGCGCTGTATCCGCTCTTACTGGCCGTCTCCCAGTGAGAATCCTTGAAATGTTTACCACCAGCGGCAGCTCCCTCGCTGTGTCATTTAACATCATGCCAATAAAAACCTTTTGCATTTTCTGCAAAATAGGATACATTTTAAAAATTAAACATTCTGCAGTATTCTTTTTTTTTGTTAAAACCAAGAAAAATACCAGATCTCTACAAAATATTATTGTTCTGTTGCAGCATTTATACACTTTTTGGTCATTTCAGATTCTGTTCTCTTCAAAGGCCTAAACAAGAAACTTAGCAACGCTTGTTTGAACTTATTAAACATTTAGAAGAAGAAAAGTCCCGTAGGTTTCAGACTGTATGGCGCAAAACAAGTTCATTGACAGATTTTTGAGCACCGTGTGTCACATAAATTGGTTCGATCAGTAAGCCCAACTAGAATTACTACATAAGGCTCACTGTCGATTTTTGAGAAAATTAAAGGATTTTACGTGTGCCTTATAGTCTGAAAAATATGGTAGCTCAGATTAACACGTCAGAAAAATGAGAAAACTAATTTATTCAGAAGGAACAAGGTGGACTTCACAGCCCTTTGAAAACACAAATGAACATGTCGCCTCTCAGTAAATACAAAGACTTAACTGACACAAAAGGAAAAGCTCATGTTTGGGGTTTGTTCCTGCTGTTCCACTTGGTGACTGACGTCTGACAAGAAAACATGCCCCATAAGACTGTTCACATATCCTAAATGTTTAAAAACAGCAACATGACTTCTTTCTGTAGTGGACTAGGCCTACGTCGAAACCCAGTCTAAGGTCAAAACTCTTGACCTTAAGAACCTTGTGGGACAGGAACTGTCATTTCATGTATTTGAATACATAGATACAGGTTCACCCATCCTGAGACTTTCTTTCTTGAAGATTCAAGTGAAAAGAACACTCTCTTTTTATTATCATTACTATCTTACAAATGTTGATAATCAAAGTGTCTTAGTTCAAACCATTTTAGATGTTGCAGTGAACTAATCAATTTTATTAACTGAGTAATGATTTTTATTCTCATGTTAAAAGCTGTTGCAGAGTAATTATGCATTTTTCTGATTTCTGCTTTTGAATGAGCAAGTGTGTGCGTTTACAAGGTTACAGTCAAACGAAAAACAAGTTGTTATGTTAAAACTGTCATGTTTTAGAATCCTCTCAGACGTAAATAGAGATGTTTTGCACCTGTTTCTTAAACACGCCAAAACAGAACCCTCTCGGTCTGTGAGAACATTTCTGAGCTGTCCCATAACAATTCTCGCTGTCTCTAACCTCTTACGTCACAAAAACACACCCCTTCTGGTCGTTTCTGACCAATGAAAAATCCCAAAAAGTGAACCGGGAAAGAGTCTTTAAAATGTCAGTACTTCCTGGTCTACCAGTCTCACGGAGTTACAGACTCAGAGAGTTGTCGGAGTTCTAAGAGTTCTGAGAGCGTAGAGTTCGGTGAGAGTCTACTCAAGTTCTGCTGAGTTCTGATGGAGTGCTGTTGGAGTTCCTGACATGACAACAAAGCTCTTCCGAGTTCCATGGGATTATAACAATTTCCACTGAGGTGAATGTGTGTCGAACAGAGCCTCGCCACTACTTCTGACGGGCAACAGCCATTCTAAGGAGACGCTGGACCGGTAGCGTTAACGGAACACCATATCTGCTGATTATCATCAGAAAGGTAATGGGTCAAGTTTCCTACCAAGCGTACCGAGGCGAGCTGGGCTTCTGATGGAGAGTGTCGGTTCTGGCGAACATTCCTCCCCTCCCATTCAATCTTAACTCCCTCTAAACTTCTTCCCATCTTTAAACTTTTCTATCAAGTAGAAATTCTTCCAGATATTTAGAAATGTCTGTGTAAAATGCTCACCCACATTCATGTGGGCAAAAGATCATAGTTGTACAGTTTTCATAAATGTCTTTGGTGCAGCAACGGAAAAATCATGGCCGTATGATTTTTCCTGGTTGATTGCTTTGTTGTTATTTTCATAATTTGCCAAATTAATGTACATGTTTGATGTTAAATTTGATTCTGTAAATAAATGACCGCATTCATTTTGATGGGTCAAATCTAAATGACGTCTCACGTTTGCATTTCCTTAAATTCAATGCACGTTTTATTCAGTCCAGAAAAATGAGGAACCCGCGTTAAATGATGAATATATCCCAGCATCTGTTCATCTACATTTCTGTAGTAGATATTTCACTTCCCATCTGTGGAGTTTTCGATTTATAAAATGAAGAGTGCGAAGTTCCAAGTTCACGAAAGTTATTTTGTGTATCAGATAAGAAAATGTGTTAAAGTGTGAGTTTTAAAGGCTTGTTCTCAACTTCTGTAGCCTTCTGTCAATTAGACTGAGCAAAACTTTTTTTTTTTTTTTTTAAAGAAACCTGAAAATAAAGCACTTACTTGTGTCAATTTTTTATTTTATTTTTTTCCAAATCTTTGCTTTACCTTTTGAATAGTGTCAGCTTTTTCAATAAAACACATATAGCAAATGAAAATCTGGAGATCCAGTGTTAAAGCAGAAAAATTCACAAACAGAAACATCTCAAATGTTTTCTAAGTAAAACCTCAGAATTGAAGGGCGAACGTAACAGCATCACGGAGACACATTCACACAGGATTGTTCTTCATCTCCGGTCGAGTCTCATCACACCAGAGACTATAAACGTCAAGTTGATGGCAAAAGTTTGTTGAACAACAGCCTCAAAAACAACAAAAAATAATGCATTATTAAATTTGGTGCAACGTTTTCTACACCTGATTTAAAAAAAAAAAAAAAAAAAATCTAATATTTGCTTTGAAACTAAACAGCAATAAAACATCAACAAGAATATATTAAAAATAAATTAAAATTTGGAAGTTACATAAAAAGTTTCAGCCTTTACATTCAAAATTCAGCGCCTTGTTTGGTTTCGAGTCACACTTTCACTTGCTGTATTTTCTACTTAACCTTTCTCCCAATAAAACAGGAAACAAATGAAAGAAATCGCTTTAAAACGGTGCAAACGTAACAATGTTCTTGAAATGAATCATCTGTTGGCTGAAACAACACGGTAACAACTGGCACAACTATTCTCTACTTCACATTTCAGACGATCCTCCGTCTCCTGCACTCAAACTCCTAACAGAACGATAAAAAAAAAAAAATCTACTTCCTCTCCAATAGGTCAAAATCTCACAAATGGCACTTCAAACAAAGCTGTGCTTATTGGGGTTTGGTAATAATCATTCATGTCTTGGAATGTCTGTTTTTGTTTATTTGGGGAATTGATTTTATTTTGTGCAGTAAAGTGGGTGTTAATTATTGCTAATTTTGTCTGTTTAGTTATTTATTTGTTTGTTTTCTGCTGGTGTACCCAAATGGAATGGCTTTTTTTCTTAATAATGTGCTTAGGACTGCAGCATAACAGAAAAAGACCCGAAACCTCCAGATTGTTATAAACAGCTATCTCCACAAGGGGGCGACAGTGATCACAAAAGGCAAAAACACGAATGGAACCAGGGCCAGGGTGTGCAGGTTGGCTGTGGATTTGACCCGTCCGTTGTTTCGGTTCCACTTGGACCCATTTCTGTCCCGGCTTCGGGGAGGTTTTGCAGGACTGGTGACGGGGTTACGTGGGGGTTTACCGTAAGGCGGAGAGTAAGGCCCAAACCCCGGCCAGTCATCACTGTACCTTTCCCCATGATCTTCACCTCCAGAGCCACTGCCCTCCTCACCTGAAACAATCAGAAAGATCAGTTCATTTATCAAGAGGCAATAATCAAATTCCAAATCAAAATATAGATATTGGTATGGGTTGTTTAAAGCTCCCTTTTGTTTTTTAAACATAAGGTGTTAATGTAAACCCACTGTCCATGAAGTCCACGTCCTGCCCATTGTAAGCATGTCTCAGTTTGTTGGTCACCACTCTGAGCTCCATGATCAGCTGTCTGATCCTCACATCAGGACGGGTGATGTCCACCTCTACCTCGGGGTTGTTGATCTGGCTGAGGAGCCCGTCACCTGTCACACTCATCAAATACCTGAGCGACAGACAGAAACGTTCACGCAAACAGTACTTTAGAGACATTAATCGTTTGAAGCTGCTGCATCGTTTAAAAAAAAAGGTTTTCAGTGGAAGCAGCTGCTTCTGAATTTTTTTGCAGGGAATGAGAAGACTATTAAATCTCAAGGTTTTTACTGTAATAGCTTAAGTACTGCTGATGGAGCATCAACTTTAGCAGCAGTGTTGACAAGCTGATAGCGAGGTTTTCTGTCTTTGCTGTGCAAACTGATGTGTACAGAAAATATCTGAAATCCCAAAGCACAGTTTGACTCATTTCTATCATAACTCATTTTAAATTATATATTGAATTGTAGCAAGGAACATGTTTTATGTAATTATTTTTGCCTATTTAAATATAGTAGCATAAAATTTGATACCAGCAAATCTAGCTCTCGTCCTTTATATCAAGAAAGCTCATCAGGGACTCTACTTCCTCGGGCGGCTGAGGCGAGCTGGTCTGGAAAGCTCAGTTCTCGAATACTGAAGAGGGCCACCTGCATCATGAAGGACCCCACTCACCCAGCACACACACTTTTTGCCCCACTCCCCTCAGGCAAGAGGTTGAGGAGCATTAAGTGTAGAACCACTAGACTGAGGAACAGCTTCTACCCTGAGGCTGTTACACTCATGTATCTCTAACCAGAATAATCACTGTGGGAAAAAAAATCACATCTTGCTGCTGATTTGTTTCATGCTGCTGTTCGACGTATTGTTTTTGTACTATTAGTGTATTTTTAGTTAATGTTTTTCTTAGTTCATACCTGAGATCTTATTACTGTTTTTCTTTTACATTTTACACTTTTATTGAATGTAACTGGGACCCTGTGAACACAATCTCGTTCCACCACTTGTGGTGCGTATGACAAATAAAGAAACTCTGACTCACTGACTTATATGAAAAAAAAAAATCTACAAATTGTTGATTTTTAAATGAGCTGTTCCCTTCTTCAGCTTCCATCGCCAACTTACTTTCTTTCCATCTTCTGTATCTCTCCCACAAACACACCAGACTCTGTGTTTTAATGAATCAGCCCTGGTACAGGATGTGGACTCTGTTTGCCTAAAAGTGAGCAGCCTGAGGGTGTGGGTGACTGGCAGAGGCTAAATTAACCGAACTTTGCTCCATCTGCTGCATCCTTCCACCTCTGCACCTCCCTCCCTCACTTCTCCTCTGGCTGTTCCTAAACGCCTCCCCCCACCTCCCACACCTTGAGCTATTTTTTCTGATCTTGCTCACCTCCCACGGGTCTGCCCGTTCCAGCAGCGGTCCTCGTTAGTGACGTCGGCAGCCATCTTCTCATCGTTGCAGATGGTGTGTGGGAGGGACACCCAGAAGCCTTGCATGGGCCGCAGTCGCTCCTTCAGCTCGGTAACCTGTGTGGAGGTGGAGGGAAAATGTTCATGAATCAGACCTGATTCTGAAGGATCCTTGCTTGCATGGCTGGCTGGAGGATGCACATGGATCCAGTGGTGATGGTGGGCAGGAAACACCCTGACATGACTCTGCTTCTGCTTCAGTTCTTGAACGGCACATCTTTTATACATACCATTATACTTTTCCTCTTCCTCTACTTCTGATTTAGTTTATTTATAAACTCTTCTCTCTTGTGAGGATCATTGCGTAGTTAAAGTATGTTGAAGTCTTAGTGTCCCTGAACGTCAAAGGATTTTAGCGTCTTCCGGCTTATTGCTTTGATTGTCTGGTGTTGAACCAACACATTCTCAGCTCCATATCAAAGCAAACGTTCTTTAGGCTGCTTCCTTCTTCAGGGGCTGCCACAGCAAGCGAACTCACGTGAAAGATGTGGCAACTGTTTTACACAGAATGGGTTTGAACCCGCAACTTCAGGATTATAAGACTGAGGCACTGGCCCCCAAGCTACCACAGTCAATACCATATCATTTCAAGTCACCTTTTATTTAACTAGATATATTTTTTGGAAAAAAAACATTGAGATCAAGATTTTTTTCACAATAGTGACTTGACAAGAGGTCAGTAGGTGCAACAAACCCGCTTCGAATGTTATCAGCCATTAAATGTCCGTTATTAGTTATCATCCTCATAGGTTGCATTCAGACTGCCCCTCCTGTACCTCCTATTAGGTTTAAAGGTACGTTGTTAGCGCTGATAATAGGGTCATGCGGTTAGGTTAAAAGGGTCAGGGGGTTAAGTTTAGAGTCAGGTGTAAGGTTAGGTTTAGGAACAGGGTTTAAATAAAGCAAACAAACAAGAACTTCTGGTTTTACATGCGTGCCAAGCTGCATATTATCAGCGATAACAACGTAACCTTAAAACTACTAGGAGGTAGGAGGGACAGCCTGAATACAACCTATGGGGATGATAACATCCGAACCCGCCGAACAAGCTGCAGCTAAGTGTTTAGCTCTGAGCGTTGAGGATGATTCAACACTTTGGTGTTTGTTCCGTTGTTTTCCCTCCTCACCAGTCGGTCCAGGTTGGTGCCTGCAGCGGTGGTGGGTTTCTCCTCGGGGGTGTAAGTACGGAAAGGTCTCCTGTTGCCTCCCGTCTCTTTAGGCGAGCGTTTGGATCGTGCTGGAGCTGGCCTGGGGTTTCCACAACCTTGGAACACCTGAGTCAAAAATCGATAAATCAAGTGATGTGAACAGGTAAATAATTCGTATTTCTTTCTACCTCTTTAAGTTAATTTAAAGAAATGTCACATTCTTGGTTATCCTGTACCTTCCACAACATAACGTTCATTTCATTCCCTTTATTTATATAGGTTAGTCACATCCAGACACGATCGTCTCATTTGTAAGAGGCATGGTATACAAACTTTAAACAGATTTTGTTGCATTCTATTTTAAAGCACTCTTTAGATTTCACTTTGAACCTCTGGATTCAGTCAGTCACATTTAAGGCACTGCTTCAAAAACTCATCTCAAAATACATCTTTCAGTTGAAAATGTAAAATCTAGGGATTGTGTGAATGTCTTTAGACCAGACAGCAACAGACAACGAAGTAATTACTCTTTTTGAAGGAAAGGCATTAACTCAGACATCGCCCTCTGTACTATCAAAATAAACCACAAGAGAAATACAGTAAATGAAGGATAATGTGCTGATTTAATCCTATACCTTATATATATATATATATATATATATATATATATATATAT